GATGATGGTGACATATATGAATATTTGAGTTAAAATGCTTAAGTTAATATGAATTATGTTTATTGACTGTGGAATAGATGCATGAAAGTCTTTGCAACCAACTGATACACTTTCTATAGCATGTAAAGAAGGATGTTGTATTTGTTTTAAATTTAAAAAATGTAAAAAAATATTTTAAAAAGATGCTGATGATAGAAATAATGCAATACAGAAATTAGTCTTTAGGCTTTAAAGGATGATTTTAAATGGAGATTAAGCTATCCCTGTAAAATCTTATATGTATTTTATATGTAATCTTGTCCAGTATTGTTTTATGGTATGTAATAGTGTTTGTCATAACAATATTTTTGATATGTCATATATTTACTCTTAGAACTGTAAAAAATGATGTAAAACAATATAGAACATAAATTATGATAATGATGCTGGTTTGCAGATTTTTTTACAGTTTAATCATAGTTTTACATTGTAGTGGAAAGATTGTATACTATTATACATATATTCCCAAAGATGGATACCTATGCATGAAATTGGAGCTTCCAGAATCTCTAGTTAGTGTAGCCAGCCATACTGGCTGGGATATGAGCATTGTAATTGGACATATCTTGGTAAAGTACATTGGATACTATCTTGATATAGTACATTGGATAAGGCAGGTTTAGGGCATTCCTATTATAATGAGTATAATACATGATAGTAGATTATCTCTGTTTCTGGGAAACTAATGATAGTACTGAGATCTTCCACAATTACCAGACTGGCCCAGAATAAGCAATTACTGCAATGGATATACCACTCAAATGATTTTTAAAAAGAACATTGCAAAGGTTAGACCATTTCAACCTTGTAATTTATGTATTGCATTTTGGAAGTGCTTACTAGATTTCTATTTCTTATGCTTCATGGTAATGGCAGAGTAAAGGGTAAACTAGACTTCTTCCACTAGGGTTTCCACAACACTGATTTCATCTTCCTTTTCAGATTATCATTTTATCTCCAAATCAAACTGCATATGCCTGTTTTCTCTTTGGGTCAATATTCAATGTCTTCTATTTGAGGAATGAAGCAATGATTGTCTATACAAATACTACAAGTATTACTTCATCTTTCCTGTTAATTTTGGATCTAATTTATATGTGGGTATGTGATTGCTCCATACCCTTCATTAGCATAAAGTTAAAAGTTTTAGGGTTTCAACATAGCATTATTTTAGTCAGGTAATTGGCTGTAGAAAGATAGCATTCTTAGTTATTATCTCAAAATTCTTTGGTGAAATGTGTTGAGGAAGAGGAAATAGCATCAGCTAGACATTTTTTCAATTGTGGGAAAAAACGGAATTAGTTTTCTGCAATGGTTACATTTATGGTTGGAATCCAGGTTTCGTGAACCCATATTTTTCACTCAAACACACATCTTTCAATCTCTGTTTACTTGGAAGAAACTTTTGTGACAGTATAGTTTTAGAAAAAGGAAATACAATTATAAAGTATATTCCAAGGATACAAATTATATAGATAAGATTAAGATGTAAGAGATAGGGAATAAAATATAAAATTTAAAATTAGCTAAACATCTCATAAAATCCAAATCAGGGCAGAAGCTCAAACATAAATGATAATACAACACTTTTAGAGAATAAATATATTGACACATGTATTATTACAGGCCTGTAATGTGCTACTTAATCTAACAAAATTTTCCTCTTTATTTTTTAGGACATATTACAGTAACCAGAGGAAAATCCACTAGAAGTGCAAGTTACATTCTACTATTGTTGTTTAATCCTGATGCCAAGTGATGTTAGCTAGCATATTATAGACTTTAATTCCTTCTATAACCAAATCAATCAGGATTAATAGAAAATTAGATACATAATATAATAGTCTTTGGAAATTGACATTCTGGAATTAGAATCAGGTAAATTGGATTAATTTGTTTTAAATATTATTGTATCTGTAACATGTTTTTAAAATATTTGGTTTCCCACCATCCTTACTACAGTGACGTCTATTGTCTCTTGTAATTTTCAATTAAATTCTTGCATTTTTGGCTCTCTTTATTAGACAATCACAACATATTATGAGTGTTATTGAAGTGGTCACTAAACAAGCTTTCAAAAAATATGCTGGTGCTATTTTCTTATTTTGGATAATTATTCAATATCACTACCAGAATTTATAATATATAGCTATGCAGCAATATATGGTTTATTCAAGGTATGCTATGCATTAGAAATCTAATTTCTGTTGGATCAAAATGATTATGGATTACTGTAAGAAATTGGGATTTATTTAGATTGTGTGCATTCTGTTCAGGTTGTGTAGAATATTAAAGATTACATTTTCTGGAAAATATTACAATATGTTGAACTACTTATAAATCAGTTTAAATTATCTCCGAATTTTTGGAGCGAATATACTGTAATTAAAATACATATAATCTCAATGGAAATATGTCTTCAGATCCAGATGCTTGTCATATTTAGTTCTGGATAGTGTTGCATTATTCCAGATAGACCCAGGCGCAATATGGGGTTGTTTTCTAGACTGCTCAAGAGATGGAGAAAACATTCTAGATCTATCTTATCCTTTTCACCAGACTTATCAATTTCCAAATCCACTTGGGAGCAAGTGAGGGAGGAGTGATACTCTCTGTAATGTTTCCGATGACTTCCCCTGGCCATCTTTTTTGAGCAGGAACAAGGTTATGTGGTGGTGTGATTCTTATGGATAAAGTGGCCTAGAAACTCTGGCCTTGAGGGGGGGAAAGGGAGAGATTAAAAGGCTGTGCAGCACTGAGAAAGCACAAAATTTGAGAAACTTTTAAGAAACAGCCTCTCCTAGTGGAAGATCAAACAGGTTCCTGACAAACCTAGCTGACAACATGATCACCCAAAAGCTGGAAGAGGTAACTAGAGGGTCAGCTATGCTGGACTTAATTACTATTAATAGGGATGAGATGATCGAGGGAATGGAAGTTGTAGGAACTTTGGGGGAGAGTGACAGTGTCATACTAGAATTCATAATGCAGTCACAGGTAAACGAGATAATAAAGGCCCAAACAAAACCAACAAGAGACTCCAGAAAAAAACACATGCACAGAGAGCTCTCAGAAAAACAGAAGAAAAAGGACAGCCTTGTTTGTTTATTAATGCCAGAAGCATCACAATTAAAATAAGGCATAGTATATGACATAAAATGTAAAATAAAAATTCAATATTAAAATATGTACCTTAAACAAATCTTGTCCGGAAACTATCAACATTAACTTACAGCACACCCATGTTGAGAATGCTTTGTAAGATTTCCAACAATAATTAGAATATCAGATTCCTTGAGTGTTAAGAAAAGCTCTTCATCCTGTCAAAACATTGATATTTTTGATTACCTTTTGCACACTTAGGGGGTAAGTGGCAATTCCCTACATTTTACAGAAATGTAAAATGTAGATTGAAAATTCAATTATCCAAGATCATTTTGATACATGCTGGAATGGATTTCAGGTTTGTGTCTGTTAAAGGTGTGTAATTTCTCACCCATTAATAGCAATAGCAATAGCAGTTAGACTTATATACCGCTTCATAGGGCTTTCAGCCCTCTCTAAGCGGTTTACAGAGTCAGCATATTGCCCNGCAGGCACCCAGCGACAGGGGCTAGGAGCTAGGAACCCGGAAGTTAATTACTTCCGGGTTTACTGACGAACCGGTTCGCACGAACCGGTGCGAACCAGGAGGAACCCACCCCTGATTTCAATGTTATAATGACTTCTAGAAAACTACCTGTTAATTCATGTTGATCTTTGTTTTTAACAAATACAGAATGTTCTCACAGGAAAAAAATTCTCCAGTCTTCTAAAGCGTGCTGTACATTCAAATTCATATGACGTGTCCTTTGTCAGAAAACCACACTCTAATCCAGGTGTCCACAATCCACCTTTTTTCATCAGCCCAATAATCAAACAAACATGTCTTTCATAGTTATCACTGCACCCACTAGAATATTTCAATGTTATCATGACTTGTAGAAAACTACCCGTTAACTCGTGTTGAACTTTGTTTTTAACAAATACAGAATATTCTCACAGGAAAAAAATTTCCCACTCTTCTGAAGAGTGAAAGGTCAATAATTACATCCCCTGAGATAATCTGGTCTTTAAAAAGAAAAATGTGAAATAATCATTTAAATGTGAAAAACATTTAGTTTAGGTCTTTTGGGCTAAATTGCCAGGTCCACTTAGAAGTTAATTCTGAGAGCAGATGTTATTATCGCATTCCACATGCATAGAAATATTATTTTGCATTTGGTCCCCCACATCTGCATTGGTCGTTGTATATTCCATAAAAATGCAACAAAAAACAGAGTACGAATAGGACCAGTAATACTGAAAGGTACCCCGACCTGGAATGATTTGTTATATTTCTAGAAAAACCCATTTTTATTCTGTTAACAAATTCCATCAATGATGGACATTGTGTGGTCCTGAAAATATTCTTGGTTTCCAACTCTCTCTGTTCCTAGCAAGTATAGCTAGTGATGAATGATGATAACAGCTGGAGTTCAGTCATGTCTGAAACTCCACATATTTAATGTTTCTGATATACATGTAGTAAAAGCAGCAGGAATTATGTTTAATTTGAAATCCCATTATGTTTCAAATGAGTGGCAAATACAGCAATTATAATTTTAAACATCATGCATGAACGTAATAGTATTGTCTTCCTTAACTGCAAGATCATAACTATGTATTGCCATTGGGAGTCTAATTCTTTAACTTAATGATCACCATTGTGTCCATTCTCACCACCATAATACCATGCCAATGTTTATAATAACCTAACTGTATGGAAGAATATTGGCGAAGGAGGCCTGTGAGAATCAACGTGTTTTTCAGAAAATACATGGAGCATCCTGAAAGATAACAAAATAAACTCGGACATGATTTTGTGACATCTATAATCTGGAATAAAAAAATCATTTTGATGAAGTATCTGTAAATATAATATCTGAGCCATAAAAATGGTTGATCAAGAATCCACAGTATGTTATAAAGTGGGTACGTAGGTCCATAAGGAAAGCATACTTGCATTAAATACATCAATTTTTATATGATTGGTAACTTATTGCCAGCTTTATTGATAGATTGTTTATTGTTGTTTACATTGCTTTTTGTTTAGAAATCAGTATTATGTCAGATAATAGATAATAGGTTCTTGATATCAGCCATACTTTAGGGTTCATTTTGGAAGAATGTACAACACTTCATGTGCAAAGTACAAATACTGAAAGACAAATGAAATCATTTTTAATAGTGATGGTTCAGTCACTCCTGAACTTCATGGAATAACTCATGGAAATATTCAACATGAAGTAAATGTTATAATTAGTGACATTTAACACTGTGTTAAATCATTACCTTAACAAAATACCTTCTAGAAGCAAAATCCTCAATGAGGATGAATAAAGTAGGAGATTTTACAGAAGTTTGCGCTCTCTTTAAATTCATTTGCATACAGTATTGTATTTGTCTTCTTACCATTTCTGTAGCATTCTTACTACTTTATAGTCCTAATTTTAATCTACTCACTGAATCATTTTTCAATTAGGTGGCTCCAATAATATACACAACATAAAAAAGGAAAATAAATTAAAGACAAGGAATAAGAGAAAAGGAAGATTAACCCAATATTAAGTTTACAGGAGCACTAGTTAATAAAACTCTTCATGCCTTTCTCTCATTGGAAACCATCTTTACTTCCACTACATCTATATACTGCTTCAAATATTGTTTCTTATTCTTTAAACTTCTTTCTTCTTTTGAGAGTTTGATCAGCTCCATCCAGCCATGAATTTCTCAGTCTTCCTTTAAAGTGACAGGCCAGTATGTCCTAGTTGGTGGAATGCAAGGTAGACTCCAGATTACAGATTCTAGCTTGCATAGCTATTATGAAAATCTTTAGAGTAAAATTGGATTAGATTGCACTCACAGAAATTGGCCTAATTTTTCAAACCTGATTGGTATTTCATCTTTACTATGAGCAGGGAATGTTGCATAAGGTAGGATCCAACTAAGGCTAATATAATTTTTCATCATTTATGTGATAAAAATTAATTGCCAAGATTAATTTCATACTAGGAAATTGAAAACAAAAGAACTACAAATCTATAAATTATTAATATCTGGAATAAGGTATATAGTTAGAGTCCCACACTAAAGCTGATATACAGTATATGTGTTTTAAAGCTATATCTTTCATCTGATTCCCAGCATGGTGAATGCATGCCATCAGTTTTTAGCAATCATGGCCAGAGACAGCTGTGAGGACTAAAAAAAGATTCAGGGGGCATTTGCTGCCTTCCCTAGCAACTGTTTCATATCTGCAGATTCTGTGTTCCCTCCTTAAATGTTGGCCTTGCAATGACTAAGCAGGATTCCTGGATTTATAAACTAGAATGCTAATGAATCATGGTTGTGCCCCAAACTCTTTTCTTTCTATCTTATTTCACTTTTCATGCAACCAGTGAGGAATAGCTTTATATAATGCCATAAATTGGAATTATGATTGAGCAGGTAAGCAAACCTGGATTGTAAGTAAACTCTAAACAAGAGGTTTATATTATTGGCTTAAGAACACTTGATTATTTGAGCATACTAAACTGTAGCCAGAAGGTCTGGATACAAAGTTAGCCATTTTGTATTTAATAATCTACTTTTGTGAGAAAAAGAAAACTCAATCATGGACATGACCCAGATTACCAGTGTTCCATCGCATAATGGTGGGCATGCTTCACCATCAAGGCAATGGCAGGGCATTCTGCCATGGTCAGGGGGATCATCAGCCCAAGCCAGAGTCATCCTAAGACTTTGCTGTCTTATGACTTGCCTCATGACAATAGGATAGCACAGCATCAATACTTTCC